CACATGTCACATCTTTTCGGTCAGATCTCAAGAAAACTAAACATAGAACCGAGTTGAGTTTCAAAATATATTTAAGGACCGAGAATCCAGTAATTTGTATTAAAAAAGGTATTGATAATTTTTAGTGATATTGCTTACAGCTTCGCATTAAATTTGAAAAAATATTTAATGGTCACAGTTTATTCAATATGAGTTCTAGGTTTTAAAACTTTTTTTCGAATTTAACATTGAATAATCTGAAAACACAGGAATAGAAAAACGGAATGTTGGTTGATTGGTGGCAAATGGATCGATTATTTAACTAACGTTGGAATCACTGGTATATATTCTTCAAGCAGAAAGATGAAAATTTATTTTTTGTAGCAGAGGTTTGAAGATGTTTTAAACAATTAGAAAGCCTACCTGTATCCCTGGCAGGAGTTGTAGCATTTGTTGAGATTGGTTCCGTTCAAGGACCTGTCCATCGTGTAGGCGCAGCTGTGGCTTGTCAAAGAGCTTGCTGAGCTCCAAGCGGCCAGTAAAAAGACGAAGAGGAAAGTGATGATGGACATATTTGCTGGAAGTCGGGGAAACTTTGACTGGCTGTGAGGAGGACGGACCGGTGGCTATATAGTGGTCCCCCGATCGCGGGGTGGTGGGAGGCAATGAGGTAACTGGCTTGGTCAGATATCCAGATATCCAGCTTCCAGTCCCAGTTCACAAATTCCAGCAGTTATTTATGGGATTCGCTCCTGGTCTTATCGGTGGCAAAAAATTAATGAAATTCATTACTGCTTCACCGAAAGTCAATAATATATACGCCATAGATTTTTGTTTTCTCTTGCATAGTTACCCTATGCAGGAGGAGTGTATTTTTTAAGTTTTAGATACTCCATGTCAAATCGCATATTATACGTATAAATGTTAAGTTTACATTTTAGTTAAGATATTGCTTTTTTTTTGTTGGTGCAAAATATTAAAAAGAAAAAATCATACATAAGTAACTAAAACATAAAGTAAAAAGTAAAACTAAATTACATACGCCATCGATCTAGTTTCTGAAACGTGTATATTTTCTCTTAATTTCATATAAAATTAATTTAGAAAGAAAATATTTATCAATTATCTATAACCAACAGTCTTTCCCCCCATCTCAATTTTGAATGTGAGCTCCATTATATCAAAAGCTAATATTTATTTTATTACAGTAATATTGAAAACTCAAATTAAACAACCCATTTTCACACTTATATATTTTCTTACTGGTCAGTTCAATAATGATCAAATTAGTTTTTGATTGTTATTTGTTGGCCGTTTCAGGGAATCTTTGTCTACCTCTTCAACAATCTATAATGACATAATTAATGTATTTTAGGTTTGGACAAATTATAGGAATATTTTAATTCACAATTCCAATATTTACCAAATTAAATTATTGAATGGAATAAAAATCTAAAATATATTAATTGTATTATTTTAGGTTGTTTAAGATGTGAAAAAAGATTCCTCGAAACGGCCAATAAATAATAATCAAAAACTAATTTGATTATTATTGAACTGACCAGTAGGCAAATATATAAGTGTGAAAAGATATTGAGAACAAAGATCAAAATTGAATAATGGAAAATCCTTTTTGAATTCTTTAATGGATGTGAGAAAATTATAACTCTATCAAATTCTGAAACACCGATGTTTTTCCCTAATCTCCTATAATTAATTGATCATAAAATTTGCATTTTTATCAATTAATATAATTAAAACATATAATTAAATTTTTTTTAATATTGAAGGGCCTCATACATTTCTCTGAAATAAAATATTATATTTTATAAACAGTATATTTGAATAAACTATTTACAAAAAAAAAAAATATATCTAAATTTTTTTCCTCATAAAAAGTTAATTTAAATTTTTTCTTCTTATATCTTACACAGACATCTGTCATTTTCTTGAAGTTAGAAAAAGCCTATTTCTTTTATAAAGCTTTTATAAATTTCTGAAGTGTCAATGTTTTTCTTTAATTTCCTATAAAATTAATTAATTATAGGAAACTTAAATTTTTATTAATTATTAAAAAATAATAATATTTATTTTGATTTATTTAAAAATAAAGTCTAATCTTGGTCTTATTCAACATATAATATCGGATTGACCCATATAAAGGAAGGACATCATTCATCATTTTAATTTTCAGAAAATTGAGAATAAGCCAGTTTTTATGAGCAATGCGGGAACGATATAATTTAAAAAGTTAGTCAAATTCATCTTCGAAAATAGAGCTTAAAAAAAAAAAAAATCAATTTTCCGTTGTTAAAAATTTATGGTAAAAGTAGAGTCATAATCGTTCGTTTTAGAAAGTAATTCTATTGAATTAAAAATAAGCCTTAACTGGTGCACATAGCTTGTTGGAGGATAAAAAATGAAAATTTAAGTGCGAAATGCATAATTTTTATTTGAGTAATTTTTAGAAGCAAATAAAAATAAAACGCAAGAGAGGTTACAAAATATAGGGAACTACTTAAACCTTCGCTTCCTCTCTTTTGAAAGAGTGGAGGGAACTTTCCGTTTCCCTTATTTTACACTTTAAAAAAATCATAACTATTATCAAAACCTAACGAGTTTTTTTTCATAATTTTTTTTTTGGGGGGGGGCGGGAGAGAACTTCAAACCAAAAGCCGTAGATCCACCAGTGCTGAAAATTGGCGCCAGTGATTATAATCCGACGATTGGTTGTTTGGTAAATGTCCTCTTGACTTTTGAAGGGACTCACACTTCTAGTGTAAATATTTTAAACGGATCTATATCTTTATGAATAAATTTAATACACTTCGTCCATTTTTTATATAAAATGACTCCAATATTAAAAGACGAAGAAAAATGTAATAAGGATCAACTAATGACTCCATTCTGATTTTGGTGACAATCGCCCGTATTCGAGGCCTGATGAAATGTATAATTTTGTTCTAATCTTAAAATGGGCTTATTAACTATCAACCCTTGATCAATTAAAATATTCGTTTGATTAAAGATTGCCTTCAGAGACCGAAATAATATATTTTATCTTAAACTGTTGAATTTTCCGCCTCCACATATTCCTCAGTTTTTATTAATTAGTTCTTTGCTTCTGATTTATTTTTTTATTTATTTGGTGTGAATGTGATGATATATCACTATAATTATTGTCCACGTGACAGATTATTATATTTCTAAATAAATAAATAAAAAGATATTATTTCAGACACCACCTTGTAAATTTTCATTAAAACTTTAATATTTTTTAAAGCATTTTTTTTTTAAATTTATATTTCTTTGAAGGCTAAAATGTGCCGCGGTTACATGTGAATAATCAGTTATTCATTCCACAAAATGCATCACCGTTAGTCAAGCTTAGTTGTGACGTTCCTCTTGGAATAATTTATTCATGATTGATTGTAATGAGTTTATTTATTTGTCCAACTGTGTTACTAATTATTATTTTCAATGTTCAATTAATATTTCATATGCTGTGGAATCGTCATCATTTGTTATATTATATTACTTCGACAATTTTAGAAATTTAAGATTTATATTTTATTGCTTATATTAGGTGCCGTGAGCAACAACTTAGGCTAGAAGCACATTATTGGAATTTCATTTCAATATGTCTGTAAGGATTGTGTTGTTTCAGGTGTGTTTATGTTAAGATATTTCTATGAAGATTGTGTAGTTACAACTATATAGGCTAATATCAGCATCTGTATAAAGATTGCATTGTTTAAATATATCTGTAATAATTGTATTGTTTCGGAAATTGTAACAAATTCTTCAAACTTTTTTGGTTGTGTGGCTTGTCGATATCCCAGGAGGCGGTAGGAGGTCCTTTGAGAAACATTGTGGAATATTTTTGATTTATTAATAGTATATAAATTAGAATAAAATAGAAAATAATGATTCGTTTAATACAATATTGGTGCTGTTCATTGTCCTGTATAAATGAAATGCAATAATTTAAATATAGTTTCCTTATTTAATTTATTTTCTGTTTTACATCTGTTTAAGTCGTCAAGTTTGTGTGATCATTACTCTCAATATATATATATATATATATATGAATATATATTTTAATTGCTTAACACGAAATAAAAGAAGTAAAAATTTGATTGAAAAGTTTTATAAACTCATTTATTTCACTAAAAAAATTTACATAAATATAATAAATAACAAATAAATTATAATAAATAAATACAAATATATATAAAACATAAATGACTGGTTTTCAAAAAATAAATAATTTAATTTAAAATTTCTTAAACATGAAAAATCACAAGCCAATATTTTTATACTGAAATATAAATTTTATAATACTTCTAGAACTTCTAAAAATATTAACTTGTGGATAATTCAATAACAATATAAATAATAAATCACAATAACAATCACAAATTTATCTGTAATAAATAAATAATACATCGAATCGGTACATCCTGAGGAGGTGATACAAAAATAGAGATCTATCACACTAAGGATAAAATATACATATTATATTATATTCAGTCAAACATAAAGAAGCCCTCCAGAATTTTATGCACAGCTAATAAAAGCGTATATACACATTAACATGTTAAATAAATATTTTTTAGTGAGAAGCACTAGCGGATCTAGGATTTAATTTTGGGGGGGGGGCTTCAGCCCGAAAGATTTTTTTTTCATAACGATAATTAATTTTTTAAAAAAGAAAGAAATTAACTACCTATATGAAAATGGTGTAAGTGGTTCTTGAAGTCCTATTAAATATAATTACACGAACAAGAATACTTTAAGAGATAGGTTTTTAATATTTTTTTCTGCAAAACATGGTTATATTTTACCATCGGGGGGGGGGGGAGCTTCATCCCGAAAGCCCCTCCCTCCCGTTGATCCGTCTGTGGTGAGAAGGTAACAAGTCCATACAGGTCACTAAAAGTCTTTCCAATTACAGAAAGCTTTTCCTAAAATAAGCACAGCCATGGTCGAGGTAGATGAGATAATTTTTGGCATGGCTCTCAGTGTACCAGTTTCTTTTCGTATTGTATCGACCGCTGGTGGTTCAAGGTTTCGGAGGTTTCAATGCAGAAAAGCAATAGTACTTCAAAACTTTCGGGGGTCTTCAGCAAGGCTATATCACTGCAAAAAACAAATAAAATAATAATAATCTGAAACACACCTCATGCAAATTTCGTTTAAGTCATTTAATACACATGTACAGCCCATTTTGCGAGACAATCTTAATTAAGCTCAGATGATCTAAAAAGTATATTTCTGTCGAATACTTGGACTAAATTTTTATTTGGATAGTAACAGTTCCCTTATAATATATTTTATGAGTAGGCGATTGACAGAATAAATCAATGTAAAAATTTAGGTATATTACGAGTTGCTAATTTGTTTTGTTTTGGGCAACACTCGCTCTCGATTACCAAATTTTCCCCCTAGTACCTGGGCCTAGTACCCATTTTAAATTGTATTACGTTCGCCATAGAAGGGTCTTTCCTCAACAAGATCGATTCACAGATTAAAAACAGATAATGAATTTCTGAACTATGATAGACTCCGATCTGGACCACAGGTGTCAAGAGCACAAACAATCCTTTGCCACAATCCTGAATAATGTTAATATTAATGATTTCGACTAGATCTTTTTTATTGATTTTATTTTTTTTTAAGTCTTTATTGATTGATGGAAAATACAGAATGCATTGTTTTATGTATACATTCTTTTAAGGTTTAGGTATTTTTCAAATGACGTTATATTATTTTTAATGTTTTTTTATTCAGATAATTATATATAATAAGAATGGAAGTATGTATTTATACTGTTAAGTATATATATATATATATATATATATATATATATATATATATATGTGTATATATATATATATATATATATATATATATATATATATATATTGTTCTGCTTTCATTTATTTTTAACGTTGATATTTAAAAAATGTATACAAATTTTTACTTTACCGATTCATCAATACACCGCATATCGCATACTCGATTAATCGTTGCATAAATTGCAGGTCTTATTTTATCTCTGTGATTTTTTTTAAATGTAATAAATTAAAAAAAAAATTTAATACGGGAATAGGAACTTACCTATAAGGTTCGCAAGAACCCGGGCATTTTGTGATGTCAACACTAGTTTCGTAAGGATCAGTGCTATAGGCGCACTTAAATTGTTTGATTTCTAATTTCATCGGCCGTGCCCAGCAAGCTCCCAACACCGAGAAGGCTACAAGAAAAGTTATGGCAGAAAACATGGCACTGGAGCTCCGCAAGACTCTTACTGAAGGTTCGAAGGCCGGCGGCGCGCTATATAGAGTGGTCGGTGGGGAACATTCGGTGGGGGTGATGAGTAACCTGCAGACATCTTCGCCCATCTCATGGGTTCTATCTGTGTAATCCAGTAATGTAATCCAGAACCTGTGTAAATATAGAAACGTGGGAGGGGGATAATAATCGAAATGCATAATTTAAATGTGTCACCTTTCTTTAACTTACTTCAGCATTAGCATGATGAACAGTATTAGTACACCAAAGTATAAAATTGCAACATTGCATCAATTTCAATAAGCCACAAACGATAAGAACAAAAAAATAAAAAACTTCTTGAGGTAATCCACATAAAAAAAAAAAATAGAATAACTGTTAATTACAAAGCACCTTGGCACACACTACTCTGACATAATTAATTAAAACTCAACAATATTAATATTTCCAAGTGTATATTTCAGCTGTAATGGCCAATGGACAGGAAAACGTATTATACAAGACTAACCTATATTTGAAACTATTAGGGAAAAAATTGGACATGGCATAAAGTCTAAAAAAAAATTACAAGACAGCGAAAGAGCAGTCAAAAAAACATTATGATTATTAAAAGCGGGGAAATCTATAACACAGTTTAATTTGAAGGTATTCCCAATGACCAAACAGGGTAGAGGCAACAAAACAGTAAATAATATTTCCAACTAAACAAACATACATCCATATAAAGAAAAAAGAACATATAATAAATTCAAGGTACAAAGGTCTATTTTAATACCTGTTAAAGCTAACCAATTGTTAGTTAAGTAATGTGTAGTCCCAACTATAAATTGTATGAAGAAATCATAATTCAGAAAAATGGAGGACACTTATCAAAATGGTAAATAAAACCGCGAAACTTAATATATTTGACAAATACCTCTGAAGATGGAAAACAATCCCGAAACCGTAGTGTGAATATAATGTGAAATATAACACTGATATAAAATAATGGAAGTTTTTCGTTGCCAACCTTATAATAAATTGGTGATAATTGAGTAAGTGAACTGAATATTGATTGTTCATTTTTGCAAAAAAAAAAAAAAAAAAAAAATGCCAAAAACCTACTTACTCGCTAGAGTAATTAAGTTTAGTAAAATTTTTGCACTCTGATAATTTTAAAATTACAATAAATAATATATAATAAAAAATAAATTGTAAGAATCAAGTATCAAATTGCAACATTATCTATTGCTGATAGCAGTTTGAATACTATTAAGGCTATCACGCAATTACAAGTAGTCCAATACATAATAAAATATCTGAGTAAATTAAACATTAAAGCTAATCCTGATAAAATTTGAAGAAGCACTTATTGAGGAGTTCATTATCGGATGAGGAACAGAGATATGCATATTTTTTATTTGTAAACGTGAATACGAAAAGTGTTCGTAAAGATGGTTCATTATGAATACAAATAAACAAAGGCAATGCATTCACATTAACTTATGATTGAATGTTTTTATTCATTATAGCAATATTAATTTTCCCATATTATATATATATATATATATATATATATATATATATATATATATATATATATATGTATATATATATATTTATAAATACTTATAAAAATTCTAACATTATATGCATTATTTAAAAATAATATGTAAACACTAAAAAATAAACAGAAAACAAAATTAAACGAACATAAGATCTTATCAAAATTACTTATTATTGTGACGAAAAAAAAAACTATATATACATACATATTCATATTGGTACACAGAGAGACAAAAAGTATAACAAATAAAACACATTTACCCAGAAAGAAAAGGCATGGATCTGAAGCGAAGAGAAAAATAGATAAATAGTAAAAATAATAGTCAAACTAGGTGACAAAGATCATTGATGTTATATGTTAAAACTTAAACAGTAGGCATCATCATTTGCGTTTCACAAATTCAATTCATCAAATAAAATTTATGGTTGCGATATATTATAATATTATATTTGTATGTATATATATATATGTGATAATTTTATGTGAATAAAAATATGGTCGCATTAATATTCGTAGAGAACAATCTTTACGAATACAATTTGTATTTAAATTTAAGAATACAAATCCTGTACGGCGCCTATATCACGAGCAATAGTGAATTCGGGAATTGATTTTGGATGGTTTTAAGAGATTTGGTTTTCAATTTTTATCAACAGGAAATACAGCGAAAATAATGATTTGAAGAGTAATATTTTATATATTTTTTCTAGTATTTATTAGCATTTAATTTATAATTAGTTTAATTAATACTAATTTGAATAGAGAACATATTGTTATCGTTGAAGTATTTAGATGACATTTCTCATCTTCCCTTTAATCTACTTCATTTGGAACCAGTTTACTTTTCTCCTGAGTTATGTTCAATTCTTGATTACAACACAACCAGGATAAAACAAACAAAATGCCGTAAGTGATTATGTGGTCATTTCCTCAAACTTGAATATTTGTTTGTTTTATAAAGTGTGGACAATGTGGTATCGATCCAATATTCTACTCTGTATTAATGTCGATATATTACAATTTTTTAGTATGTGTGGGTGTGGCGAGCATTATATTCATGTGAGTAGGGTTGGGGAAGCGCACACTTAAATACATTCTTAATTTCTTGTTACACCGTTTTGACTTCCGTTTTTTACATATCACATATGTAAAATTTTGGTATTTTCTCTAATTTTCAACTATTTTGATGTTATTATAGTTTACCAAACGTCAGAGAACAAATTTGATAAAAAAATTCTGTTATTCTGTTTAAGAGGAAACTGTGGATACTAATATTTCTTAAAATGTAATATTCAATAATTATTATTTGATGATAATTAATATCATGTTTATATCTACGGCTATAATTGAAATGTGAACCAATTAAAATTATTTCTTAGGTGTTCGTTACTACAGGGTTTCGTTACTACTATATTTTCACTAAAAATGTACACATTCATATCAATATTCACATTGAAGTATTCTTTCAGATAAGTTATGAGTATTAGCTTTAATGAAAGAAAAAAAAATCGAGATTGTCTGTATCCATTTCCCGCACTACCCCTAATAGTGGATGAAGAGAAGTATTCGAGGTTGTACTTTACTTCCTTTATGATAATAAAAATCTAGGGTGAATTTTTGTCATGAAGTCATTCTTAATATACATATATGTTATCAGCAAAGGCGTCAGACATTTTGCGCACTCGGACAATTACGTTATGAGCGGCTTCCTTGCCCTCCCCCCTCACAACGAAAAAAAAAAAAATAAAATTAGGAATCTTATGTCATTAATTCCATAGCTTTATCAAAAAGTTAAAATTAAATTATCTTATGAAATGATGGATGAATGCCAACGTAATTTAAATATTCTCTCCATTACTAATAACATGAGAAATAACTGGGATAAACGAAATAACTGTTACCATTAAATAAAATTAGAAGGAGAATAACCTTGTTAGGGAGGTCTCAGAACGTGTACCTTTGGCACAAGAGACGTCTATGGTTTCAGCCTCAACTGTTAGTCCAGTCAATGAATGGTAAAAAGGTGCTTGTAGGGTGTATGAAGGATGAATGAACACTTAACTTTGGGAATTTGTTGAATGTACGAAGGAGGTACACATACTAAAAGTACCCACCTCTACTCGTTCCGCTTCATGAAGGGGAGCTGTAAAGGTCACTTTTCCAGATTTTGACATATACCTTGAAAACTTGGCAAACGAAACATTGTTATATAAAAAATTAAAGCTAATAAGATTTCCTTCAAGAAAGTTTATATCAATTTCTTTCGTACCTGTCATAGTTAGTGTTGCCCAAATGCGAGACCGAGACGAGTCTTGGTCTTGCAAACTCAATCTTGGTCATGGTCTTGGTCTTGCGTAAGACTCTCGCAACAGCCTTGCAGTCACTTATTAGGTTATTACCATAGAGATATCACTGTATTTTTTTAGATAGGAGAAACCTAACTAAGCCCGAATGAAAAATTAGAGGAGTTAAATGCAAAAGTATATTGGTTTTATCAATTATTAACATATAGTAACTAAAATTGACGAGTATTAGTAACTATTTTGCCTTAATTTTTAGTAAAAAATTCGATTTTTTTTACCAGTCCTGGTCTTGGTCTTGCAACAGTTAGACGTCCTTGGTCTTGGTCTTGCAAAGTGCAAAACCAAGACCGATTTTGGGCAACACTAGTTATAGTTATACAGATATTCACTAAAATGAATCTATATTTTTCGCAATAATTATTAACGGCTTAAGCTTTTTGTTAAACTTGTCTTTTTATCACCATTCGTTCTACAAGAAAATCGTCAAATAAGAAAATTTAAGAATGTAGTTTTTTCTTTAAATGTGTATATCGTCTATTAATTTATCTTTCATCAGTCTAAAGTTAAAGCAAGTTTAAATATTCTCCTAAATTTCGTCAAATAATGAAAATGAAGAAGAGTAATATTTTTATTTTTGAGCATAAATGTCTCCTATTTACACAAACAAGGGTGTATAATACATATTATGTTAATCACATAAATAAATATATCATCACAAGCGTATTAACCACATGTTTGCTATAGTTGATTATGTTTTAAGGCACTTCATCCCATTTTTTCCACTTCTTTTTGTGAATGCTATAACGAAAGAATATTTCATAAAGGTTAAGGCAAATATATTTCCATTTTTCTTCAGTCCTTTTAATTACGTCTATTATATCTGACGTTTCGGGACAATTTTCCCATTTTTAGAGTATTCCTTATGTTTACTTGCTTTGGTGATGTGGCACAAATTCACTATCACACCAACCAATGCAGATGTTGGTTGGTGTGATAGTGAAAAGGAAAGGAATGTGTAGCACCAAAAAAATATTTGAATAGATATGACAATTATTGAATTCTTGACAACTGGTGCCACATCACAAAAGCAAGGAAACATAAGGAATACTCTGAAAATGGGAAATTATCTCGAAACGTCTGATATAATGGATGTAATTAAAAGGACTGAAGAAAAATGGTAGTATGTTTGCCTCAACCTTAGAAGAAAATATAAACAGAAGCTTCCTAAAAAAAGAAAAGTAGGAAGATAAGAATATTTTATTGTAATGAAAAAAAGTAGGAGACATTAGTTGGTTATAATAATTGTATCTTGAGAGATATCTGTTGCAGTAGGAATTATAATTCAATAATA